TACTTTCATCGCGAATATTTTGAACTTCTGAAATATACCAAAACAACTTAAACTAAGAAGTCATTTAAATTGCATTGTTTTATAATCACATTAAACTATTTTAAAGGTCAAAATACATATAGTATTTTCATATACAAGTTTTGTAAAATAATAAGAAAAAAGAATCATAATAAAAACCTTTGAAGCATCTTCAGAGTTGAAATCCCTAAAATTAAACACATAAATATATATATATATATATATATATATATATATATATATATATATATAAATATAAATATATATATAAATATAAATATATATATATATATATATATATATATATATATATATATATATATATACACCAGGACTTAAATTAACGCAAAAAAAAAAAAAAAAAAAATTTTTTTGTCTAATAGCCTGCGCTGCTTTGCCATAATGGGTGTTGGGTTATTGTTGGCGTTAGCATAAAAGTGTTCTTTTGTACATAATTGTTATTTTTTAACATATTATCTCATATTTAAATACTATCTTATAATTTTCCGGTTTGGCCGAGTTTAAAATAGTGTGGGTTACTGTTATAATTTACCACTAAATTTAGAATTAAAAGTTTAAGTTGCAGTTGCAGAGTAATCAGCAAGTAAGGTATTTAATACTATTAGGATATTACTTTTAGTATTTATTTTTATTTAACATGATACTTAAAAAAGTAAAAGTAAAAAACTAAGAGTAAAAAGCAAGCATTACAATATTTAAACTACTTTAATTAGCCATAGAAAACTATTTAATACATTCATGCTGACAATAAAACACCTGTTATTTTTAAAGAGTATTTTATTGTTATTATAAAAAGCTATAAAACAACAAAAATACAAACTGCAAAGTTGTTTTAAAAACATAAACAGCTTGTGTTAATGAAAAACAACTTCATGACGCTGTTTTGTTGCTGTTTTATACAGTTTATAACCTTAATAACATAAAACCTGTTTAAAATAAAACGAAGCAAATAAATAAAATTGTTCTTATTAATAAATTAAAAAATTATCGCCATAAAACTTAATATTTGCACAAAAACAAAAAATTTGGTTTAATAAATGGAATTATATTTCCATAAGTTTAAGAATATGCTTAAAAAAGGGTTGATGATAAAATCTAAAACCCATTTCGACGTTAGAAGTTTTGAGTAAATTATTGACCCAATAATAAATCATAATAATTTGTTAATAAATCGTTTCAATAATAAACCATTTTTGATAATTGCGTAGAATAAAAAATAAAGTATATAATTATAATTTTTTTCAACATAGATATGTTTAGTGTAGTCTTGTGGCTAGTAATTTTGCCTTGTCACTCAGCGACGATGAAGGATCTCTTGAGCGCTTATATTTTTGTATGTACTTTTATTTTATATTTCAAAGTATTTAGTTCTAGTTTTATGCATAATGTCTATGATTATTCTTAATAAAAAGATATGTTGTTTATAAAATTTTATTTATTATAAAAATTAGGAAGTTTGTACACAAAGACTGACTTAAAGGGATTCCAAACTCCCAACACATGTTGTGTTCATATTAAAGATAATGTTAAAAAAAAAAGGTTTGAACCAAGTTTTTTTGATTAAAAATAAATAATGACTGCATATCGAGAAAAACTAGTGTTGTTGTTTTAGCCTAAGCTCACCTTCTCCATTTTTTTCAATAACTTGGAGTCTTCAAATTATACATCGCAATCTACAGACTTTGGCGATTCTTTTGAAGCGCGTTTAATTCATAAAAGTTTTAGTACTTGACGTCACGGTAGGATTTTAACAAATGAAAAGTGTAATTACACAAAGCTGCATTTTTCTACTTTAATTCAAAAAGTACGATGTAGTAGTTTTTTAACAGCAAAACAAATTTATTTGTATTATTTTTCCAAACATCACAAAAAAAATTTTGTAAAAAGTAAAAACAATAAATTATTTTTATTTTATAGGAGCAACTTATTTTTTACAGATATCTTATTAATTTTTAGATTTATATATTTTACTTATATTTCTGTTGTTTTTAAATTAAAAAAAATATTAAAACTTAACTTACCAATCCTATGATTTTCATACGAGTATTTTACATTATATAGAACGTTTTATATACGGTCTCTCATTTTTGTGCAAGAGAGCGCAGTATTATATATTCTGACTCATTTTTATTTAAACAATGGGAACTATTTTCTAACTTCTCTTGTTATTTTTACGCTATGACAATTTTTTGTTTTCCCATCAAAAAAATAGTATTTATTAACAATTACTTTCATAAACTGACAGTATTAATTGGAGATATTTGATGAATTGTTAACTTTTTTTAATATAAAATTTTTTTGATTACGCTGATTTAATTCAAATTGTTAAATTTGCTGAATTGGATATGGATAAAAAAGAAATATCATTTTATTTTACATTTGATTTTTGATAATGAAATTTTTAAAATGTCAGCAACTCCATACCAATTAGAACCTGTTAAGGTTATGAAAAAAAAAAGTACAAGAATACACTAAACAATACAGTTGACAGTAGTATCAGATATGAAAATTTGTGAAAGGATATGTGAGATCCTGATTTTGCATTAAAAGTAAAATTAATAGCAACACAAGTCGGCATTATAAATTTTGATTATAAGTTTACTGTTCAATATTTTAAAACCATCAAACTAAAAACATGAAGTTTGTATATTTTCGCCCTTTTTATACTTTATAATATTTAACAAAAATACAAATTATTACTAAATAATGCAATAATTAACACATTAATTAATGGCAATAATTCAAAATAGATGGTAATTTAAATTGTCAAAATGTCATAACGCGCATTAAAAATTATATTATATTTAGTATTTTCCAATTTGTGTCGTATTTGGCATTTGTCTCTTAGCATGAAAAATTAAAATTTTTTTAAAACACAATTAACAAATACAAGTTTTCAAGCAATTTTATTGATTCAACGAATAATTTTCCGATTCTCGAAATTTCCAATTCAACGAAATTTTCGATCAACGAAATTTCCAATTCAACGAAATTCTCGAATTTCCAATTCAACAAAATTTTCCAATTCTCATTTATTCAACGAAAAGTTACTATTAAACTTTTATTTCTCTCATCTAAAAAAAGAATAACTGACGCAAAAAAAAAAAAATTCTATACAACTCTTATTCATTCAAAGTTTAATTACGCGAAACTTTTCTTTCTCTTTTGTTCTACTCTTTTATAAAGAGAGCTTGCGATGAAATAAAAACTTTTCTTTTTTAACATAAAATTATACTTTGAGATAAAATTAAATTAGAAATAAATCAACAATGAGCAAAGCAACTAACAGATTAATCTGGGACTATTTTGATATTAATGAAAATAATCAACATAAACAACATTACCAACAACAACTATCAAATAAACAACACAATATCGCAAAATTTTAGGGGCATTTTATTTTTATTGCTTAGCTGTTCTAAATAATAAGTAAATTTAGTTCAAGTTAATATTTCAATATTTACAGTTGCAATTTAATAAAGAAATGATTGTTGAACTTTTTGTTTAATTATTTATTTTTTACCTACATTTGTTATAAAAAACTTTAGAACCCCCGCCATTAAAATAATTTGTTTTAAATATATTTCGAAGTGATTATTCAAACTAATTTTTTTCATTTGACTTTCCGAACTTCATGCAAAGCAAATTGAAACAAAATATTGTCTAACTAAATAAAAATGCTGTTACTAATTTTATATGAGTAATTAATGTAAAACAATTTTGTATATAATATATATTTATATTTGATAATAAATTGTATATATATATATATATATATATATATATATATATATATATATATATATATATATTTGATAATAAATATATATATATATTTGATAATAAAAATAATTTATAAACGTTATATAAATGACGCAATAACAATTTATAGCAACGAACCAGCATAAAATTGACGCAATAACAATTTATAGCAACGAACCAGCATAACATTTAAAAAGATATTAAAAACCATTTGAGGTTTTTAATATCTTTTTAAATGTTAATAATAGAAGAAAAAAAACTAAACAAATAATCAAAAAAAGTTCGAATAAAAATAAATAAAAATATTTCCAGAGTTTCATTTGTTAAAAGTCTACCGTGACGTCAAATACTAAAACTTTTATGAATTAAACGCACTTCAAAGGAATTGCCAAAGCCTGTAGATTGCGACGTATAATTTGATGACTCAGAGTTATTGAAAAAAATGGAGAAGGCGAGCTTAGGCTAAAACAACAACACTAGTTTTTCTCGGTATGCATTCATTATTTATTTTTAATCAAAAAAACTTGGTTCAAATCTTTTTTTTTAACATTTTTAATATGAACACAACATGTGTTGAGAGTTTGGGATCCCTTTAAACATGTAGAAAAGACAGGGAGTGTACATACATCAACTGACTAAATAGGTAGAACATCCAGGGATTGTTCATACATCGACTGACTAAACAGGTAGAACAAGGCCACATGGCCACATGGGTTTCTTGAACACCAAAACCTTCAAGGCCACATGGGTTTCTTGAACACCAAAATCAGGTATATAGAAAATTGCCTAAATTTATTTAAATTGATTAATACATGTACTTAAAATATTTTTTTACATTTCTGATCATTTCATTGGATTCGCCACCCCTGAAAATAGCCAGGTACAAACTTTTAAGTAAAAGTATCAAATATTTTTTTAAGAAATGTTACTTGAAACCTCTCAATAGGAATTGGGGAAGGGGAGTTAGACTATCAAGCATATGAAACTTTCATGAGAGGGGAGGGAGGAGGTAAGACTCCCAAGCATACATATGCATAGAGAGGGTGGGGTATAAAAATGTTTGAGGTACATCAGGGGGATGGGATATTTCACTATAATTGTACATAATATATCGATGCATATGATGAATCAGTATTTGCGTATGCAGGCTTGGTCGGGAAGCAGGTGCGATCGCACTCGATAATTGACCACGGAAATTATATTTACTTGCGAAAAACCGGCCAGATTTTTCAGGCGTTTTGAGAACATTTCAGTTTGTGTATGTTTCCTTGTTTGTCCGCAAAATAATAAGTTCATTTTATCATAAATTTATAAGATTTTTTTTACGGACGTACATGGAAACTTATATAAACTTGAATGTTGTCAAACGTCTTAGTGCAGAAAAATAAATAAAGAATATTCGCG